GAAATTTTTATTCTGTATGTCCATACATAAGAAAAGCACCATCAACAAATGGGCAAAAGACATAAGTAAACATTTCATAGAAATGTGTATATTGTTTTGTAGGTGTTAGATAATATAATTTTAAATCCACAGCTTTCTAAAGATTTTGACATTGCTACTCTTTGGAAAACAGTTTACGTTGTCTTCTAAAATTGAGTATTTACACGCATTGTGACTGAGCAGTTCTGCTCAGCTATATATAAAAGAGAAAACCTTGCTATGTACAAGAAAGTTCACAACAGCAAATAACAGCCATTAGAAATAAGCTGAATACCCTGTAGAGATGGAAGATATAATGGATAGGCTATTACATTTTCTCTAGAAATAAAGTGTTTGTAAATGCGGAGGGGAGGAGTGGGTGAAGGGAGGACAGGGACAAGGGGAAAAAATGAGAACCAAGGCCTGTCATGTGGAGGTACAAGATCCCAATAATGAATGCAACTGTACTATATACCTAAAATGTACCAATAAACTCAATTAAAAAAAATCCTAGTAAGAATTATTATGAGCGGTGAAAGGAGGGCAGGGACCAAGGGGAAAAGATGAGAACCAAGACCTGTCATGTAAAGATACAAGGTCCCAATAATGAATGTAACTACTATATACCTAAAATTTACCAATAAACTCAATAAAAAGAAAAAAAATAGACTGTTACAGAAGAGTAGGTAAGTAAACACAATGGAGTATTGTACAGTGGTCAAATCAAGTAATTATGTGTGAAATACTACATTTAGATTGCCTTTTGTATTTTATGAAAAAACCCACAAAATTTCATAACCAAATAAGAGAATAACGAGTTATTATACTGTATATCTTCAAAGTAGTTTCTCATAGTACAAGACATACATCAAAAAGATTCTTACGAAAAAGAAATAATAGCAAAAAACTTTCTTTTTAACAAACTAAGATAAACTTGTATAAATAAACAAATTAACATATATATATTGAAATATTTTTCCAACAACAGAATATGTAACTTTCAGGAAGTATTTGAACTTCTCCCTCCTTTTTCTTCTAAAAGGGAAAACATACAATATTTGAGTTTGTGTGTCTGACTTTTTCCACTTTAACATCATGTTCTCAAGTTACACCCATTTACCTATGAATGCCTCAAGCTTATCTTTTCTTTATGGCAGTGTAGTACTCTATTGTGATAAATATATATTTTCTTATCAGTTCAACTGTTGATGGACATATATGTTGTTTCTAAGATCTATTGTAAATTGTGCTGCTTTAAACGTGTATGCATTTATCCCTGCAATACATTGATTTTAAGTCTTTTGAAGGGGATAGCTTGGTCAAATGGAATTTCTATTTTTAGTTTTTTGAGGACTCTCCACCCTAATTTCCATAGCGATTGTACTAGTTTGTATTCCCACTAACAATGTACAGTAGTACAGTGTGCCCCCCCAATCTTGCCAGCATTTGTTGTTATTTTTATTATTATTATTATTATTTTTTTTTGAGACAGGGTCTTGCTGTGTAGTTCAGGCTGGCCCTGAACTATGTAATGCAGTCTGACCTTAAACTCACAGCAATCCTCCTGCCTTAGTCTCCTCAGTGCTAGGACTACAGGTGTGCATTACCATGCCTTGGCTATTTTTGTTTTTGTTTTTTTTATCATAGCCATCTTTCTGGGGTAAGATGGTATCTCTGTAGTTTTAACTTGCATTTCTCTGATGGCCAGCAGTGATGAGTGTTTTTTCATGTATGTATTGACCATTTGTACTTCTTTTGAGAAGTGTCTATTCATTTTGGTTGTCCATTTTTTGATTGAGTCTTTTATTTGGGGAGGAGTCTATAGCTTTGGGTTTTTTATATATTCTTGATGTTAGCCCTCTATCTGTGGAATAGCTGACAATTTTTTTCCCATTCTGTAGATTGTCTCTTCACTCTGTGCATTGTTTCCTTTGCTGTGCAGAAGCTTTTTAATTTATAGATCCTATTTGTTGGTTCTTGGTATTATTTCTTGTGCCATTGGGGTTTCATTCAGAAGGCCCTTGCCTGTGCCTGTTTTTAGGAGTTGTACATATTTTGTCTTCCAGCAGATTGTTTCTGTTTTAACTATTAGATTTTTGATCCATTTTGATTGTAGGTTAGTATGTGGTGAGATGTATGCATCTAAACTCAATCTTCTGCATGTGGATGAATGTCCAATTTTTCCAGCACTATTTATTAATATAAAAATGCTCTCTTTCCACCAGTGTATGTTTTTTGGCTCCTTTGTCAAAGATCAAATAGCTGAATGGGCCTAAGGTTGTTTTGGCTTCCTCTGTTCTGTTCTGTTCTGCTGATGCATGTGACTTTTTTTTTTTTTTCCAGTACCATGCTGTTTTCATCAATATAGCTTCACAGTATAACTTCAAGTCTGGGATTGTGATGCCACCTGCTTTTTTTTGTTGTTGTTGTTGTTATTCAGGATTACATTTGTTATTTTGGGTCTCTTCTGATTCTATGTAAATTTTAAGATTTTTCTCTAAATCTGTGAGAAATGATGACATTGATATTTTGATTGGAATTGCATTAAATATGTACATCAGTTTTGGAAGTATGGGCATTTTTATTATGTTGGTTCAGAAGAGGGAATATTTTTCTATTTTCTGATGTCCTCAATTTCCTTTTTCAGTCTGATGTGATTTTCATTGCATAGGTCTTTTGCTTCCTTAGGTTAATAAGGATTTTATTTTGAATGGCATTGCTTTCTTAATTTCCTTTTCAGCGGGTTCATTATTACTGTATAGGAATGCTATTAAGTTTCATGTGTTTTGTATCCTGCTACACTGCTGAATTTGACTGTCAAGTTTAGGAGTCTTTTGGTAGAGTTTTATGAGTCTTGTAAGTGAAAGATCATGTCTTCTGCAAATACTTAGTCTGTTCCTATAGGTATCCCTTTTATTTGTTTTGTTTGATTGATCTGACTAATGTTTTGAGTACCATGTCAAACAGTGCTGATAATGGATGTCTTTGTCTTCTTCCTGATTTTATTTTATTTTATTTTATTTTATTTTGGGTACTGGGCATCAAACTCAGGACCTTGTGCTTATGAGGCAGGCAGCAGAACCACTGAGCTAACTCCCCAGCCCCTTCTTCCTGATTTTAGAGGGAAAGCTTTAAATGATGCTGGCAGTAGATGGTTGTAACTGGCTTTTATCATGTGAGATAAAGACCTTCTCTACCTGTTTTCTTCAGGTTTTTAATGGATGTTGGATTTTGTCAGGCATTCTATGCATATTTTAAAATGATCATGTTATTTTTGGCCTATTATTTGGTGAATTAATTTATTGATTTGAATGTGTAAACCATTCTTGCACCCCTGGGATGAAACCTACTTGGTCATGATCTGTGATATTTCTAATAATTTGTCACATTTGCCAGGGTCTTGTTAAGGATTTTTGCATCTGTGTTCATTAGAGAAATTGGCCGATAGTGCTCTTTTTTGGTTGAATCTTTGTTTTGGAATCAGGATGATGTTAGCTTCCGAGAATAATTTTTGAAGTACACTTTCCCTCTCAATTTCATTAAAAAGTTTGAGGAGTACCAGTTGTTAGATCTTCCCTGAAGTTTGTGTATAATTTGGCTGTGAATTCATTGGGTATTTTTCTTAATTGTTCTTTTTTTTTTAATTGCTGCTTCAATTTTGTTCTTTGTTACTGGATTGTTCAAGATTTTTAAGTTTTCTTGGTTTAGTTTTGGCAGTTCATGTATGTCTAGGAATCTCTCTGTTTCTTCTGAGTTCTGCAATTATTTGACATGTTTTAGCCATATGTGGACAAAAGAATGTGAATACTATTGTTGGCCGAAACATTCTGTATGTGTGTTAGTATATTGATATGTAAATGTTAGTGTATGTGTATTACAGATATAATAAAATATATATTAGAGCTCTTATTTGTTTGAAGATTTGATTCAACTCTGATATTAGTTGATTTTTTTGTTTAGTTAACCAGTCTGTTTGTGATAGTGGGGTATTAAGATCCCCTATTATAATTTTATTGATGTTTGTCTGATCTTTTATGTCCATTAGAGTTTGTTTTGTAAAGTGAGTGCACCATGGTTTGGTGCATATATGTTTATAATTGTTATCTTTTCCTATGGAATATTTAGTTCCATTAACCAATAAATAATGTCCTTTGCTTCTTTTGATCAGCTTTAGCTTAGAGTTCACTTTGTCTGAAAATAGGATAGCTATTCCCACTTATTTTTGTTTTCCTGTTGGGTGGAATATTGTCTTCCACCCATTGATTTTTAATGATTTTTTGTTTTTTGTTTTTTTGGTATTAGGGATTGAACTTGGGGTCTTGCACTTGTGAGGCACGCAGCGGACTTTGATATTTATTCTGTGAATTTCTTTTTGTGGTAAATGTATTTCTGGAATACAGCATGCTTTTGGATTTTGTTTCTGGATCCATTCTGCTAATCTGTGTCTTTTGATTGGCAAGTTGAGTCCACTTATATTGCCAGGTAGTTACAACTGCTGACTTACTTCTGTCATTGCATTCATTTCCTATTGCTGTTTGCTTGGCTTGGATTGCTTTTAACATACAACTTCCCCTTTCCCTTTTTTCTTCAATTTCATTTCTTGAAGAAAGAGTCTTTTGTCCACTTGCTGGATTTTGCTGATTGTATGCTTCTCTCAGATATCTTTTACTTGTCCAAGAATACTTACTGTTTATATTTAAATAGATGATACCTTGTATCTATTGATTGTGAACAAATTTTGGTTTAAATGGAAAAATGAATGCTTAATTCTGTTGAAGAATGAATGATTTCAAAAATCTGAAAGGAGGGCACTAAAGGATAGTATGTGGACCTCATGAGTTAGAATACTTTTGCATTGTATTAGCATAAAATTTGCCATCTTAAATATTGTGAAATAATACAATATGCAGTTGTAGCAAAAATAGATATACTACTTTGATTTGGTGCAAGTAACATTATTAACCTTTATTTTATTTTAAAAGATACCAGGTAATCAGTACTCCAACAGACTTTTTTATGGTAATGGAGTACGTGTCTGGAGGAGAATTATTTGACTACATCTGTAAACATGGACGGGTAAGTGATGTATTATTTAGTCTACACTAGAAAACAGGCACATATTGGGAAATATCCAACCATAAAGGTATTTTCAGGTTTGAGTTGTTTTTCTAATAATGCCCAACTAAACATACAAAGAATCAGACAAATTTTCTTTCTTTAAAAGTATAATCCTCAACCAAAATCAAAATTCTGATTTGGGGACATATATTCCACTTAATTTCTAAATGATTCTTATGGTTTTAAGTCTATAAAATTATGTTGACACAGTTATTTTTCTTAGGAATTTCACATAAGTTCTGATTTAGTATGTCTTATGATAATTTCCTAAAACATTGTGTACGTTTAATAATATTAATTGAAAATTAAACATTATTCCCTTGCAACAAAGCAAAACCTGTCAAATGGCATAGTAAGCTTTGGCAAGGTTTTGGTTGGTTTGTTTTCTCTTGATTTGTTGAGAATTCTAATTGGCTTGCTTAGTTATTTTAGACTGATTATAAAACTAAGACTCTTGTTAAGTTGATCTCCCAGATGTTCATAATACAGTTTCTTTTATACTTGATAGGTTGAAGAGATGGAAGCCAGGCGGCTGTTTCAGCAGATTCTGTCTGCTGTGGATTATTGTCATAGGCATATGGTTGTTCATCGAGACCTAAAACCAGAGAATGTGTTATTGGATGCACAGATGAATGCCAAGATAGCTGATTTTGGTATGTAACTCTAGGGTTGTTCAGAGATATATAGCTATCTTTTAAAGTGTGCCAGTAACAATTCTTATAGTACTAAAAACTTTCAATTCCAACCTTGTAAATCCTGTACCATGAAAAAGAATTAGTTGTAGTCTCTATACCATCTTGCTTTGTTCCTTTAAGTATACTTTTAAAATGCAGATACTTCTAGTAAACTAGTTAGAGGGCTAGGACTAATATCTAGAATATATAAAGAACTTAAAAAAATTAGACACACCCCCAAAATAAAAGGCCCAGTTAAAAAATGGGCAACTGAAATGAGTAGACACTTCTCAGAAGAAATAGATGGCCTATAATACATTAAAAAATGTTCAACATCTCTGGCTATTAAAATGCAAATTAAAACAACATGAAATTTCAACTTATTCCAGGAAGAATTTCCTGTCATCAGGAAATCAAATAGTAACAAAGGCCAGAGAGGCTGAGGGGAAAAGGGAATCCTTCTACATTTTTGGTGGCAATGTAACTAGCATAGGCATTACAGAGATTAGTATGGAAATTCATCAAAAAACTAAAACTAGGAATTCCATTTGACCTAGATGTTTCCCTTCTAGTATCTTCTGGAAAGATGTATATCATCTCATAGTGATCCATGCATACCCGTGTTTATAGCAGCATGAGTCATTATAGCTAAATTGGGAAACAGTCTACATGTCCACCAACAGATAAGTGGATAAGGAAAATGTGGTGTTTACACACAATGGAGGACCACTCTGCCATAGATTTGAGTCATTTGTAGGGAAATAGATGCACTTTGTAACCATAATGCTAAGTGAAATAAATCAGAAACACAAGCTTAAATATTATATTTTTTCTTACATAAGAAACTCAAAGTATTAATAAAGAGCAAAATAAAAGATAGATAATAAGGAAAAGGAACAAGAAATGGAGGGAGGTGAGGGAGGGAGATGAAGAAAGAATTAAGATGTGTTATGTACATGGACCAACTTCCACAAGGAGTGCGATCATTATTATCTGAAACATGTACAGATAAAAAAAACAAAACTAAAAAAAATTATTCGATCTGCATTTCTTCCTAAGGAATGATACTTCACTTTTCTTTCTTTTTTGCCAAAGGTCAGTGTTAGAGGGTTGGGGAGGAGTCCCAAACGCTTTTGAAAATGTGAAGGTATTTTACCTAATGAGGGCATATAAACAGAGCTACATGAAAATTTGCATACATCTTTGAAAAGTTTTACAGTTCTTCTGTGATTGGTGGAGAGGTCCATGAGTCGTAGTGTAATATCTAACAACTTAATGAAAGAATGGGCGTTTCATCACGGGTAAAGACAAGGTAAAATCTTTTTTTTTTTGTTTTGTTTTGTTTTGTTTTGTTTTTTCTCCAAAGACTTTCTATAATAAACATACCCACGTGTAACTGCAAAAGAGTAGAATGGGAGATCTTAAGGAAAAAGAGTTGTGACAGCATGAGAGTTCATTCAGCCTTGCTGATTTAAATGATTTTCTATAGTTTGTCTTTAAACTAGGAAAAATAGTTTCACCATTTCTCTTTCTTCTCTAAATAATGAAACTCTTTTCGTACTATAGTTCAGCTTGATTTTAGAATCAATAGATTTTTTTCTATGTTAAATCTTTCCAGATTAAAAACCTTAGAAGAGTAACCTGCTTATAAATTGGGGATTTTGATTTACTGATGTTTTAGATTATTTATTTATTGTTTGTTTGTTTTTTTTGAGACAAGGTCTTGCCATGCAGTTCAGGTTGGCCTTGAACTTCAGGCAATCGTCTTGCCTCACCCTCCCAAGTGCTGGGCTTACAGGCATGCATACCACTCCCACCTAGAAAGGCTTTTTAAAAGCATAGTAGCATCTATTTTATTCTTTCAATTGTAGAAGTAGATAATATTTTTATGATTTTATTTTTGGAAAAGTTAAAATAATTTAGAATAACCTCAATTGTAAAGTAAGCGGTTCGTTTATTTAGAAAGGTAACAACTCCAGTCATATACATGATGTTCTTTAGCTTTTGTATGATCATGTAAGCATTGTGAAATGATCTCTTTTAAACCTAAAAGTACTTTTCACTGCTTTACTAAAAGATATGATTTATGGAGTGTTAAACACTTTTTAATCATGTTTTTAATCTCTATCTAAAATATCTAGCAGTAAGTAAACGTTTTTATTTTCAGGATTATCTAATATGATGTCAGATGGTGAGTTTCTACGAACTAGTTGTGGATCTCCAAATTACGCAGCACCTGAAGTCATCTCAGGCAGGTAATAAAGCTTTTTGTAATCTTATAATATTTAATTATAGTATATTTTTGGAAAACAAGATTTTTAACACAAAAACAAATTGTTTACTTATTTTTCAATTGTTGGAGGGAAAAAGGTTATATTAAATGCTTTTTTATTCAGAATTTTGTATTAAAAATGTAACTGAGCTGGGCATGCTGGTACATACTTATAATCCCAGCTATTTGGAAACTGAGGCAGAAGGAATGCAAGTTTGAGGGTAGCCTGGCAGCTTAATTAGACCCTGACTTAAAAAAAAAAAGTAAAAAGGGCTAGAATATAGTTCAGTGGTGAAAGGCTTGCCTATCAAGACTGAGGGCTGGGGATGAATCTGTAGTACTGCAATAAGAAAAGAAAGGGAAACAGATCTTGTCTTCATTTTAGAAAAGTACAGGTAAAAGTAAGCACTTGTTAATTTTAATCTAGAGTTGTTATTTGTCAGACATAATGCTTTAGTAATAATCACTTATTTGTTTGTGGTAGTGAGATTGAAGCCAAGGCCTTCACACTGAGCTGCGGTATCTCCCCAGACCTTTTTGTTTTTCATTTTGACACAGGGTCTTGCTAAGTCAGTAAGAGCTTGAACTTTCAATCCTCCTGCCTCCCATTCCAGAGTAGGGGGGTTATAGGAATGTACCACCACACACCTGGCTAGTTTACATATTTTGTAAAGTCTGTGGAATATTGTTTTATATTTTGTCTTTGAAAAAATGAAATTTTGGAGCATAATATTTTTATTCCATTAAATTAAATTATACAAGTAGTGACTTTATAGTTTATTGATGGGCACAATATGATCACATTTGTGCAGATTACAGTGGTGAAGTCAAGTCTTTCTGCATTGGCCAGTGTGATTTAAAAAGTAAACAATTCTTTGAAAATATTGAAAAGTGGCACATAAAGGAAAGTACTGCAAGTAGCAAATATAGGAGTGTTTTAATCCATTTGGGTTACTGTAACAGAGTAACATAGAGTAGCTTTTAAACAATAGACAGCATTTCTCACCTTTCTAGAGGCTGAAAAATGCAAAGCAAGTGCTGGCAGAATTGAAGTCTGGTAGGACCTTTTCCCCTAGTCCACTGTAACCTGATGTGGTGGAACAGGCAGCAGTCTCTCTGCATGGTCTCTCTGTAAGGTCACTAATCCCACCATGAGAGTTTCACCCTCCTGACCTCATCTCCTCTAGAGTCTCCACCTCCTGATGCCATCCATAACTTTGGGAGTTTTCAGCATGTGAATTATCAGGGGACATGAACATGCAGTCCATTGCAAGAAGTTTGGATAATTTAGCAAATGATATAAATCAGGAACAGCAATTTTTATAGAATTTTTTTCTGTCCTTTGCACTGGAGTTGCACTTGTCACCACAGCCCAGGTTTGAGTTTGTTAATTCACTATTGGGAATTTTAATTCTGTAGAAAGATGAGAGAAAAAATAGCTGAGAACTATAGATACAGGTTATCTGGAGCAAAGCTAATCTTAGTTCTGTGAGCTAACAAGTGATTGCTAGAATAAAAGTAGTAGGTACAAATTTGATCTCCATAGTACTAGTTTAGCACTTTAATGTTTCAAATATTGTTTAAAATGGGTGTGCAAGGGATAAAAATTGCCATACGTACATTTTCTTGTAATAGTTCTGTGGGAGGAGGACCTATACACTGTGCTATTATTTTTTAAAGTTTGTGATTATCTACTTTGATGTTTCCTTCAAAAATCAACCATAGAAAGTGTTACAATTTTTAGTTAGTAAGTTACAATTAAATGAGTTGGTGACAATGTTCTTTTTAGCAAATTTCCATGGTAACTGGTTAGCCAAATTATTCCTTACAGAGAACAGCCATTGAGTATTAAGAGTGGCCATGATTTTATTTTAAAAACCTTGAAAATGTACTGATCTGTACTAAATATGTATATAGAAGCAGGATACAGAAAGATGAGGAAAAAGTGATACTTGCTTCTCAGGTTTGTGACCTTCTTTAGGTTATATGCAGGCCCTGAAGTTGATATCTGGAGCTGTGGTGTCATTTTGTATGCCCTTCTGTGTGGCACCCTCCCGTTTGATGATGAGCACGTTCCTACATTGTTTAAGAAGATCCGTGGAGGTGTGTTTTATATCCCAGAATATCTCAATCGTTCTGTTGCCACTCTCCTGATGCATATGCTACAGGTTGACCCTCTGAAAAGAGCAACTATCAAAGACATAAGGTGATTATTCTTCTTGTTTCCACTTTGCATACTTGCTTGTAGTAATAATTGTGACATTAACTGAACACTTGCTTTGTGCTAGTGTTACAGCACTTCATTTTAATCAGCATTTTACTGGTCATACTGCAAAACCTAATCATGTTACTTGTCTTTAAAATACTTGACAGTGCTGCTGAAACTTTTTAGCTTAAGTTGTAAAGCATATAAGCCTCTTCTTCACAAGGCTCTACTACCTCTGAAGTTTAATTTGTCTTCACCACCATAGCCCTTGTACCACTGTTTACCTCTAGAATTTTTTACCCTGAAAAGAAGGGCCCTCGCTCTCCAGTTCTGCCTCCTGCCACCCTCTAAATGGATTCCTACAGTATGTGGCTTTTGTGTCTGGCTTTTTTCATTTAGCATATTTTCAAGGTATTTCCACACTATAGCATGTGTCAGTACTTCATTCCTTTTTTGCTTGAAAAATATTCCATTGTGTGGCTAGACACTACGTTTGGTTTATTCATCAGCTGATTAGCAGTGAGTTGTTTCTGTCTTTTGGTTTTTATGAATAATGTTGCCATAAATATACACATACATATTTCATATGGTCATATATGTTTTCATTTCTTATGCATATATATGTAGCATCTGTAATTGTTGTATTCCATTGTTGTTAATGCTCCTGTTTGTTTTGTGATTTTCCTGAACTAATTCCTTAAAAGTCTGATTTCATGTTTGGCTACTAAAGACCTTCCTTTTTTAGCTAACTGGTCAACTAGTAATTAGGTGGAGTTTCTTAAAATGGCATTGTCTGAGCCAGGTGTGGTGGTATACACCTGTAGTTCCAGCTCCTTGGAAGACTGAGGCAGGAGGATCACTTGAGCCCATGAGTTTGAGACCAACCCTGGTAATGTAGTGAGCAACTTGGGAAACATAATGAGACCTCATCTCAAAGAAAAAAAAAGCCATAGTTTAATAAGTCTCCCAGCCTTCAGAAAGGCTCTGTGTATTGGCGTGTAGCAGTGGTGCTCCAGTGGTCACTTTATAAGTCTGCCTTAGGTGTCACCTCCTGCTTGTTCAGAGCTTCACAATTTGCCAATGGGGAGAAATTAAGACCCTCTCCGTTCTTTCTTGGGTATTGTATTACCTCTCCATTGCTGGTGTAAAATACCTAACATGCACAACTTAAAGGAGGAAAGATTATTTGGACTCATGATTTCAGAGATTTTAATCCATGGTTGCTGGCTCCAAGGCAAACAACATAGCAGAGCTGTGAAAGCTGCTTATAGGATGTCATCCAAGAAGCAGAGAGAGCAAGGAAGAACCTGAGAGAAAGGAGAAGGGAACAGAGAGCCTCCACAGACACACCCCCCCATGACTAATCTCCTAGGCACTGCTCAATTTGATAATCCATATTAACAGCCAGAAGACCATCCTTTGTCACCTTGATACTCAAACATATCTCCTTAAACTGTGCCTAATCTCTAAATAAATACAGTAACAAGGTCAGAATTCTGCCCAATACAAGTATCTTGCATGCAGCTAAAAGCACACTAATTCCTTCCACAAAGTCTCAACAATACCAACTCAAAATTCCAAGTCCAAAGTCTTTTTCTGATATGCAAGACAACTCTTAACCTGTGAATCCCTGTAAAATTAAGAAGAAAAAGCAACATATATACCCTCAAGATAAAGTAACACAGGGTAAACTTTCCCATTCCATCAGGAAAGAGCAGGGGTACAGAAAAGAATCAGGCCAAAACTCAGCAAAGAAAAGATTAAGTCCTATACAAACCTTGTGTCTGGCATCTGGTGTACACACGTGGTTGTATGATGTGAGCACCAAGACCCTGCCCCTGTTGCTTGCCAATCACGGTCCATGTGGCCTTTCTCTCAGGCTGCCTGTGCACACTACCTGTTGTTTTCCTCAGCAGATGTCCCACATTTCTGGCTGCTCCAGCTTCCTGGGTCTTTATTGAAGCATTGGCCTCATCCTGACAGTTTCATGCATCACCCACTCAGAGACTCTTACAGGTTTTCTGACCCTCTCATACATCATGTAATCTTCCAGGCTGTCCTTGGGAATCTGAGTGGAAGCCTCCGTAACCATTACTCTTGCATTCTTCATGTCTGTAAACGTGATGTGACATCTGATGATACCCGAGTCTGTCACCACCTTGAGAAGTGCCTGCGCGCACTGAAATCATGTCTCTAGTGGCATCTGGGTGCTTGGATGGCTGAACACTGTGAAATGAATCCTGGGGAATCCCTTCCCAGGAGAGGCAGTTTAGGACATGGACAAAATATATAGAGAAGTTTTTCTTTGCCATAGTGTAACATGAGTATAGCCTTTATTGTTCACATTTTGATCATTATTCTAGTTTTCTGACCCCTCACTAAAATTGTCCATTAAGGTCTACTTCAAATATTCTAGGACTTTTCTGGCCACATCTCCCAACTTTTAAAAATTCCTACTAAAGCCATTTCCAAAGAGTTCCAAGACATATGATCAGGTATAGCCACAGCAGTGACCCCATCTCTCTGGTACCAATTTTCTAAATTGATCAGCTTTCTATCAGTGGGACAAAATACCTGACATACACAATTTAAAGGAGGTAGTGTTTCTTCTGGCTATTTTGAAGCTTTCAGTTCATGGTTGGTGGATCTGAGGAAGAAATATGATGGAAAGGCATATAGAGAAAAGCTGTTAATCTCATCACAGCCAGGAATGAAGGCACAGGGTGAACACCAGAGAGGAAGGGACTGTGGACCAAGTACAGAACCACTGAGCTAAATCCCAAGCCCTTTTTTTACTTTATTTTTTTTAGTTCTCAAGGTTATGAATGCCCTCACGACCCCCCACCCTCACCCCAGATATACCCAGAAGTGTGCTTTACTAATCTCCAAGATGTCTAAGCCAGTCAGGCTTACAGTCAGGATTAACCATCACAGGTGTGGGCACAGCCCTACAAATATGTTCCTGGCTGTCTTAAGCCCTAGGAATATATGAAAACCTTTCAAAGACCCCCTTGAAACTCCTATTCCCTAACTTTTCCCTTTTAGATTGTTGAGTCCGCTTCTTGGGTACCCAACATTGCTTCAGATAGCTGGGTTCTCTGTTGCCATTGATCGTTTTTGGCCTGTAGAGAAGACTTTGTTTGTAGTGGAGTAAGCTCTGAGTTTCATCAGATAAAGACAAAGGCTTTGAGTACAAGTTTCCAGGGAATTGCTAGGTAGGTTAAATAGTGGTGGTTCTTTTGGGGAGAATGGGGAGTCCAAGCCCATTCCAGTGTTTGTTATCCTGTTGATTTTCTCAGCTATTTGATTATGAGGCTGTTGGTTCTTAAGGCTGATTCATGTGTAGATGGAGAAAGAAAGATAAATAAAAGGCAATTTAAGCCCTACCTCCCACTTTTCTTCCCAAGAGTCAACCATTTTTCTTGAATACTCTTCAGATTGTTGCAAGGTATTTGGTTAATTTCTGTGGAGTTATGAACAAGTTGATTTTGAAAAATCTTGCTAGAAATCTCAAACACTTGATTCCCTTTACTACTCCTTTTCATAACTTATTATGCTTTCATGATTTTGTGCTAGTTCATTTCTTAGAACACAGCAAAACCTTTTCTTATCCTAATATCTTCGCACATAATGCTTCTTTTGCTGGTAGTATCTATTCCCCCTCTTGGCCTGGTCATTTTGGTGTTTGCTTAAGTACATATTACTCAGAGGGGCTCTGCTAATCATCCACTTCCCATTCTGCATTCTGTGTTTTCGCTTTACACTGTGCTTTTCCACTTACAATCCATATCACAGGATTTGTATAGCTATGTTTATATACAAACATTTGTCTAAATCTGTATCTACCTAGTATGCAATTTCTGTGAGGGAGAGTGTGTCTTTTTGTCCATAGTTTGTTCTCAGTAAAATACTCATAGTGAAATTGTGTTTCATTTGGTCAAAATGTATCATTGATCTGAGCTTAAGGAATGCCCAGTACTGTCATATAACAATGCTTAATCATGAAGAATAGTGTGTGCTATAGGAAAAAGGGTGAAAGGGGTGTGGTATTCTAAGGTGGCAATAGCACTGTCAAGTACAAAGGCCCAAAGTATGAGAAAATAAGATTTAGGAGAGTAGCCCTCAAGCTTTATAGTGTTTTTAGTGCTTAGCCTGTTAAAAATTATGGAGGCCCTCATAGAAGTTGTTTTTAAATGTAGACTCTATCAATATTTAGCCTATTAGAATTAAAACTGAGAAATTAAAAAATATTTAATTCACTTAACTGTAAATGCATTACATGTTAATTTAAATAATACATCTTTTATGAAAACTTTTATTTTCCAAAAAAGTATAGGAAGAATGTTACTATTTTCTATTTTTACAACTCTTTAATATCTGGTTAAATCCAAGACAATTATGTCCTTACATCTGTATCTTCATTCACTCTTGTAATAGTATTAACTGAAATGTATAAGGATCTGACCCGACTTAGGTAAGTGATTGGAAAAGAAAGGAGTATTTTAGTAGCCTATCAGATAATTGTGAGGTTTTTTTGTATATTAAAATAAAGCTTAATATATTAGTCTTTAATATCAAATTAAAAAACATACCAGTGAACTTTTGTACTTTATTACATTATAATCAACTAGTCTGTCATTTTGAGTAGATCTCTCATGCCTGTGTGGTTCTGTTAAACTTGTACAATGGCCAATAGAAAATCTTGGGTTGCTGATACCTGCAGGTTTCCCTAAATGGTGACATATTTCATTGTATCAAAAAAGTCATATTTGTTATGATCAACACTGACCTTATTAGATAGTCCTTAGGTATTGAAAAGCTTTCAAGTTCATAGAGCCATGTAGAAATTAATCTACAAAATTCCAAAGTTTTGCTTGAAGTCCTGATTTTTATCTTTGGTAACAAGTATTGCTACTTATTTTTCTTGGAGTGACAGGCTCACTTTGCTCATTTTCAAGAAAATTGAGGCAAACACCCAAATCAGAATAATCATAATTATTCAAGAGTAGAGATGAATTAACTTGTCCAGGGTCGCTGATAAGTATAGAGCTGGTGGTGGGACTGGAGACCAGATCTCTCTGAGTCCTTGTTGTATTGGCCCATGTCTAAATTATTTGGGATGTACCAAAATATATTCTTACAACAATGTATTGTGGTGTTTTTTCCTAGAGAGCATGAATGGTTTAAACAAGATTTACCCAATTACTTGTTTCCTGAAGACCCCTCTTATGATGCTAATGTCATTGATGACGAAGCTGTGAAAGAAGTGTGTGAAAAATTTGAGTGTACAGAATCAGAAGTAATGAACAGTTTATATAGTGGTGACCCTCAAGACCAGCTTGCCGTGGCTTATCATCTTATCATTGACAATCGGAGAATAATGAACCAAGCCAGTGAGTTCTACCTCGCCTCTAGTCCTCCAACTGGTTCTTTTATGGATGATAGTGCCATGCATATTCCCCCAGGCCTGAAACCTCATCCAGAAAGGATGCCGCCCCTTATAGCAGACAGCCCTAAAGCACGATGCCCATTGGATGCACTGAATACAACTAAGCCCAAATCTTTAGCTGTGAAGAAAGCCAAGTGGCATCTTGGAATCCGAAGCCAGAGTAAACCATATGACATCATGGCTGAAGTTTACCGAGCTATGAAACAGCTGGATTTTGAGTGGAAGGTAGGAAAATGTGCATTCAGGTCAATTGGAGAAGTCATTTTCCTTTAAAATAAGCCTTCTGAGCATTAAGTTGAATATTGAGATCAATAAAAAGTTATTTTTTGATTTTGATATAAATATAGTGTACCTCAGTACTTTTGGCTGGTAAATCCCTTCTTTCCAATAATTAACATATGCATTCAAAACATAACAAATACACCTATACAAGGATGAACAGCTGTTGGTGTTGGAACCTATGTATTGTGAATTATAAAATAGCATTCTTGGCCAAGAAACAGAAGGTAATCAACTTGAAATTATGTGAGAAAATACTGTACCTGTTTCATCATGCTACATAACAAGAAGTCCTGAATCTTCAAAGATAGCATGTCTTTACTTTTTCTTTCTCATGGGAATTTATTTTGCTTCTTAATTGGGATGGTGGTGGAGGCATGTGGCTGTGACAGTAGTGGCTAATATAAATTATATTGTCAGGACATATTTTTTTCAGTCAAATACTTTCTATCTTTTTTTTTTTTTTTTTTTGGTTCTGGGGATTAAACTCGGGACCTTGTGCTTGCAAGGCAGGTGGCAGCACCACTGAGCTAAATCCCTGGCCTAACAAACCCTTGCCATCAAGTTGAGAAACTTTCTCACTTATCAGGTACTTTTAACCCTTAGTCAAGGTATGTTTTCTTAGTATCACCCACTTTTACTCTCTTCTAAAGATAGTGGTTAATTTCATTGCAATTCTACTTGAATATAGAGGGAAAGTGCTTTTTCATTTAGATATCCCTTTCACGTTTTTCTTTTCTTGACTGAAAATTCTTTTAAAGGAAGAAAAACATTCAGACTATGTAAATATTTATTTGATATGTTTAAATTGCATTCATTATTTGTACATGAGTAAATGGAAATATTTCCTTCAATCTAACATAGCACTCCCTTTCCTGAAGCAGCTTTATTTAATTAAAAAAGATATATTTGTATCTTTAAAATTTCTTCCAGAAAAGTTTTTGAAACTACTTCAGTAGATGTTTTTAAAACCCAGAAGGCTGTGTTTTGAGATGCAGTCTTATTTTTGAGACACACAGAGCCTGAACATGATGATGCATGCCTTTAATCCCAGGACTCTGGGAAGCAGAGGCAGGAGAATCACAAGTTTGAATCCAGCCTGGGCAATTTAGTAACTTCGCAAGACCTTCAGAATTAAAAATTAAAAAGGCTAGAGTGGAACTTAGCACAAAGGCCTTAGATTAAATGCCCAGTGGTGGTGGTGGGTGGGGAGCAGTTAGTTATTATCCTCACAGGATCCTTGTGATGCCTGAGTTTTGTGACAGACCCTCAGGTAAGCCTTTGACATGTTAGTTCCTCTGTATTCCTGCTGCTCCCTACTCAGCAGTAAAAGACTAAAGGAAAGGCAGGGTAATCAAGATTATTATTGAGGCTTTAGGTTGGACACGGATCTGGAGTGAAGGTTAGATGCTGTCCAATGCTTGAGTTCTCTTTAAACTGTAATTATTCACAAATGGTGCTGCTCAGGGAGATTAATTAAATATTAAAGTATGCCACTTGTAATATGTAAAAAGGGAATCAATGAGAAATTCCTTCCGTACTCCAGTTGTTTCCATACATCAATTATTTGTTTTTGACACTTTTTGCAATACCAAGGGAGGCATGTTTTTAGTTTGTTATTTTTACTGGTTTCTTGTTTTAGGTAGTGAATGCATATCATCTTCGTGTAAGAAGAAAAAATCCAGTGACTGGCAATTACGTGAAAATGAGCTTACAACTTTACCTAGTTGACAATAGGAGCTATCTTTTGGATTTTAAAAGCATCGATGGTAAGCTATGCAGCCATGAGCTCTGAGAAGATAAACCTTGGCACTAGTCGACCAAGTAAAATAATTTCAGAGACATCGTGGGTATGTCTTCTGCACTGGTTATTAAGTGGTCTATACTTAACCAAACTGTAAGTGAAGTGATTTCAACTTTTTTTTGATGTGTAGGAGAAAACAAGTTGCTAAGATGTGCTTTCTTCACATGCAGGGATATCATTTTCAGTTCAGTGTTAATGTCACATATTCTATTGAGCATTTGGGGACCACATCTGGCTGAGCAGGGATAGTGTGAGTGATTAGTAATGCCTGTTCAAATTGTCAGAGGGCAGAGATACTGCCTCCTCTGCTCCTGAAACACTGAAAGATGATATTCATGACTCAGTTGTCCTTGCTCAGATGTCTTTACTTAACACTCTTGACTGTGGCAACTTGGGAAGAAGACTTGGGCAGATGCACCTTTCATATAAATTGCTCTTTGGTCCATTCCAGATGAGGTGGTGGAGCAGAGGTCCGGTTCCTCAACACCTCAGCGTTCCTGTTCTGCTGCTGGCTTACACAGACCGAGATCAAGTTTTGATTCAACGACTGTGGAGAGCCATTCGCTCTCTGGCTCCCTCACTGGTTCCTTGACTGGAAGCACAGTGTCTGCAGCATCCCCTCGCCTGGGTAGTCACACCATGGATTTTTTTGAGATGTGTGCCAGTCTCATCACCACTTTAGCCCGTTGATGATCTGTCCCTGGTTTCTATCTTTCTGTCACTGCACTGTGAAGATAAGACATGTTCTTTAAATTATTACCTTCCAGATATCACATACTCTGCAATAGTAATTGTGAGATATAAATATTACCAGGGGAAATACAATACCATTGAAACTACTGAAAACAAAAAGCCTGACATTTAATTTTCTTTTAGAACTCTCATTCTGTTGTGCCTCTCATAAGCTCACACAGGCAGCATTTTTAATGGGTGGACAATATGAAGATTGCTAATGTACCATAGTGAATTCACTACGGATGATGAGCACACCTCACTGGCGAGCAAGCTAATCTAGTACCTCCTTGTTCCACTACTTAGTGTAGGTAAATCCAGTTTATTTCCTAAATTTCAGCAGGTTTTAAACCACGTTTTTGCTCCCATTTTTGTTGCACAAGAAGATTAAAAGACAAAATAGTTATCATTAAGATGCTTTTTAAATGGTGAAATCTTAAAAGTTTACCCTCTCCCAAAATTTAGAAACTCAGCTCTTTAACAGTGTTTGCAGATACTGCCTACTGTTCACCAGAAGGGCTGCGGTCCTGTAACAGGTACCCATGATTTTCTTAATAACAGTTTTGTTTTGAGATTCCCAGAATGATGTTTCTCTTAAGAACCTTAGAGGTTCTAGTTAGTATTGAAACATCTGAAATTGGAACACTTTTTCTGTACTTTTCCATAAGCTTACATGATTTAAAGACCTGTCTTTTTCAAATTCTTTTCATGTCTTTTATTTTTGCACATTACCAGTCATGGTAAAATAGTAGACAGTTAAATGAAACAACTTGAAACATCACTAGCCCTTAAAAGAGAACTTATCTTCGATCTTTTATTTTGTGTGTATGTGGTAAGGGAGGATAAGGAAGTTAGAGTCCTGTTATATCTCACGATGCTGATTCTTCATGTGAAATTTAAGTTATACATGCCATTTCCTTCTCCCCCTTTGCCTTTGACCGTTGTCTTTGTTCATTGTCCTTCAGTGGCTGATTACCTTAACTTTTGATTCCTTTTTGGTTCCCTTTCTTGGCTGCTAGCCATTTAGTTTGAAAACATGATACTGGCCCTAAGGGTTTTTATGCTTCCAAAGCTTGATAGGCTGTGACCTTCACCCTTGATCCTGATAGGGTGAGGAAGCCTTAAACATTTAAAAATATTGTCTCTTGAATAAATATATGTGATGTTTACATATATACATGTATGTATTCATACACCAGTGCTTTTAATCTAAAAAAATTTTTTTGTTTTGCTTTGTGCAAGGGTGTTTTTTTAAGATTAAAAAACCCAGACTATGTAGCAAGGTAGATAATAGCTCATTTTAGTAAAAGTTTAATTTTTAAATTATGTAGAATTTATCTAATTTGTATTTATTTGCTTATTGTATTTATGTTGTAATTAATCTCATTCACCCAATTCACCCTATATTAAGCTCTTGAAAACAACAAAAAAAATATTGCCTTTACAGGTTTCTTTTTGCCAAAAATAATGTATTTTCTACGAAGAAACATGAAAATACTAGCCCAAGTTTTTGTGTTTATGGAAGATAATTATGTTTATCTTTAAAGATCATTTGAGTCAGGGGTTTGTGTTGTGTCATCTCAAATTGTTTTGTAGATCTTTTAAAATATGGTGTTCAATATTCTAAGTTCAGCTTCTTAATACCAAAATGAAAAGAATCTTTTTCATGTATTTGGGGTGTAGGGATGTGATGGTAGTTTAAGGTTTAACCTTTGAAAGATTGCCACCTTGTGGTCAGAGAGGGTAATTTTTTTTAGTAATTAATTTGGTAGGATAAATAGTTGTGCTGTTAAGTAAGCTGTGCATTGTCTGTATAGCATAATCTTGACTTCTCCGCTGTGTGTGTATCTTTTTTGGAGAAAACAAGACCATTTCATAATGTTTGCCCTGCTGAATAGGATAACTTGAGAAATAAGGAATGAATCAGCTTCTTTCTGGGCAATGAAAAATCCAACGCAACTTTGTAGGCTGAGAAATAGCAGAAACATTTTAACCAATTTTATTAGTCTAGTAAATCAGATATTGTAAAGTTTTTGTTTCGCTTAAATATTAGAATGTTTTTTTGAGAGTTAAAAGATATATTTGCTATATTTGCTTTTTTTTTTTTTTCTCAGTACTGGGGATCAAACTCAGGACCTTGTGCTTGCAAGGCAGGCACAGTGACACTGAGCTAAATCCCTAGCTCCTGCTGTTTTCTTATTCTTGCCAGTATTTTTGGGTATCCACTCGTTTTGATAGTTACCTGTTGAATTTTAGGCAACCTGAGAGTCATAATTTCAGTTCTTTTCGGTGAATATAGGTGGTATAATAAGTTAGTTTGCAGAAATTTCAGGTGACTCAGTTTAATATATGATATTATGTACTGCAGAACATTCTAAACAGGCTCTTTGTTCCTCATGGGCACAAAAGGAAAAAATTTGCTGCTAATCCCAGATTTCCACGTTTTAGTCTTGTGAACTGGTTAACTGTAGATGTAGTGCATAGGTCTGGGCTGAGAGAAATTCCTCCCAGCTTGATGACTGGGGAGAGAATCTATGGCTGTTGTGTTACAGATGTGTCTGATCTGTGTCATGCAGATGGACTTCTTTTGGTTCTGGGACAGCATTTCCTAAATAAACAGATTCCTAAATAAACAGAGTAAGTTTGCAAAATATCCTACTTTTCCTAGGACAACAGTGAGAGAAGTATTGAAGACTCTGGCAAATCCTTTCATGTAAAAAGGAAGAAAAACATGTAATTTTATTCAACCCAAATTAATTTACTATTTTAAAAAACATACCATGGGGAAAAAAGTTTGGAAAATGCTTTTCTAGAAAGTTATTGGACCAGGTTATCATAATTAAGGTAGTTAAAATGAAATTAAGACTCTGCTGTTTTTTCCTTTATCAGTTATTGGAGAGAACCTGGTTCAGATTCAAAATCTTCTATTTTAACTCCTAGATATGTGGAGTAAGTGCAGGACTAAGAATTATTTATCTGCAGCTTATTTCGTTAAACAGTGGTGTTCTCAGTCAGGTTGTGATGTTGTTTGGGAGCAACATTTATTTCTTGTTATTAATGGATGACTGAAAACTCTTAAGATTGCTTGTGAAGAAAAGACTAAGGGACTACTAAACCATGAGCCAGTATGACTGACTCTTTCAAACTATGTAGTCAGTGAACATCTGAATACTTTTGTTTAGGATGCCATATAGGATGAGACACTGTGTCTCAAATTAAACATGCAGGGAGAAAGGGAGGTGAACCATTTACAAATTGGTTTTTGTTGCAGTCAGCAGAAATTTTAAGAGACATTTTTGTAAATTCTAGTGCTTGCGTTGATAGTAGCCACCAATAGACAGATTCCTAGCCAATTTATACTTGGGAAACACAAATTAATTTTTAGGGTTGAGACATAATTTAGAAAATAAATAGTCATTACAAATTTGGGGTCTACTTTTATCTGTAACATCTACTAATGTGCCATACGCTGAATTAATGTAGGCACTACACCTCTATCAGGTGTAAAATCTGGGACATGCCTACCAAAGACACTGCATCTTTGTTCGCTGGCTAATAATTTAAGTCCCAATAATAGCAGCAAGATCTTTGTATCTAAGTGCTAGATATGTTCATAATTTTGTCTGTTGTTTTTAAGCACCCAAATCTGTCATCTCTTTTACCTTGTCCCCTTGTCACCCCTTGACTTTTTATGTGGGGACTGTGACTAACTCTGCGTGAGGGATATGTGCAATTTGCTGATAAATCACGTCCTGTGTTAGGCCTAAAATGGGAGGGATAGAGTAAAAGACCTTTCTAGCACCTAAGAGCTTTAAAGATTTTGCATTTTCTACCTACGTGTGTGGTTTGTGTTAATGTTCACTTTATATATATTTAGAGTTTTTATACTAGCATGAATATTGTATTTTGGTTCAGTGAGGCATTTTGATGATGTATACTTGAATATTTTTCTAAATACAGCTGCCCTCTGGAACACAAATGGCAAAAATCACCCAGAAACCAGACATGTTAAAACATCATGATGACCTGGCATAAGGCAGAAGGTAACTAATTGTAGTAATGGAAGCGCTCCACACATTTAGATTCAGGGCCCACCTTATCTGATGACTCATTATTACAGTACATTTTGCCACTTTCCAGGTGAGGAAACAGCATCACAAAGCTCTGTATAAAGCTTTAATGCCATACAATTATCCAGGGGCAGTCAGTTACTCTTCAGTGTACACCACCTTCTAAGGCAGAGCAGTTTGAAGTAATAAACATCTGAGTAGACAAGTAGTTAAAAAACATAGCTGGAATAAGTAGTCTTAACTAAATATTTCTTAGTTGAATTATATGAACCAGTTGATCGTACTAACGATGTAATTGAAGTATTTATGATTAGCATGTTGATTTTTTGTAAGTATTTCTAGGTTATTGAGGGTGCTTTAAAAAACTAAAGAAATTTTAGGACATAATTCTTCCTGTAATTTTATTTAAGCGATTCTTACAGCACAGTCTCTTAAAAAGGAAAAATTTGCCTTAGTTTTTAACTAAATTTAGTGTTTGACTATTACCTGAGAATTAGGCTTATCTAAATTTCATAAGCAGATTGGCAATTTTTTCTTTTGTATGCATATTAGATGATACAACACTTTTCAAGAGTATGTTTGTCTTTATGAAGTACCTAATCATTATTGGCTTAATAAAGATTCTCCCAAGCCTTAAAACTGTGAAGTGGAACTTAAGTTTGATGAGCTTTGAAATTTCTGTAAACCTTTAACAAGTTGTGGCATTCCTTCTGGCCTTTCCCAAATGGAATTATGCATTTGATGCCACTGACCTATAATGGCATGAAAGATGGGACCCATCTTCTGGGCAGGATTAGGCTTTAATTAAACTTCTTCAGCCACAACCTGGTAAGACTCAGGCTGAGTCTAGAGTTCTCAGATGGCGGGCCTGTGAGAATGTTGTGAGCCAGTGTTAATGTTCACTACCACCCTTGCATAGCAGTGCCAGCTTGCAGCTTTGGCTTTTGGTGACGATGGTTTATATTTAAAGCAGTTTAGATTATTTTATGTCCGTAGTTCATGATTATTTGGATACATAAGCCAGGTAAATTTTAATTATGTTTAAAGCGCAATTAAGGAACTCAGAATTCTTTCCAGGAAAAAGGGTGAAGTATTTGTAGAATATTCTGTCGTGAAAACATTTTGAACATTCATAGAGTTTTGACAAAATTTATACAGTGATTTTTTTAAAATTCAAATTTACTGTATATTCAAAATTTTAAGGAGGAACAGAAAATTCTAGGCAAGGAGAATTGCATAATTTTGTTTTTCTGTTAACCATGCATTTGTCAGTTAAAAGTTCAAGTTTTCTTTTCAATTAAAAAAAAAAGCCATTTTTCTAGAGAAATAGCATTTTCTTAAAATGGAAAAAAAATAGATCTACTGCTCTAAAAAGAAACAACTCCACTAAATTGTGCCTTCTCTTAACCTATAGGAAGAATAATAGTACAGTTGTTTAAACTTCCCCCTCCACCCCCATTCCGTCTCATTTTCCCTTAGATTTTCTCTTCACAACTAATCACGATGCTTCTGCCTGTTTTGTTTCAAATTGCTTTGGCCAAACCTCACACTGTCAAAGCTGAAAGTTGTTCACTAAATGTATTTTCTGTTTGTTACTATGTTGTTTCACATAGGTCACCTTGGTAAATATTTGGCTGCCTTTTCATGCTTTTAAAAGGAATGCAACAAATAGTAATCTCTATTTTAAAAGTTTGGAAAGGAAAGAGTTAATGCAGAGCAAATCTAATTGGAATCTGATTCCTTTGACTGCTGTAGCAGTACAAGTCATATAACCTCATTCAGTTTTCTCTTGTACAAAATGTGGATAATAACCTACCTCACAGGTATGTGTGAAAAATGGAAAACCCTTGTTTAAATACAAGGATTATACCCCCTATTTAATGTATATCCTTTTTAAAATAGATAATCTTTGATACTGATAGGTTGAGTATGTTGATTTTTAGGTGAGTTTTATGTGATAAGAAAATATTTCCAAGAAATATTAAGATCAGTTTCATAAATTCTGGTGTTTTGAGATACTTAAAATTTCTTGAAAATGTCAATTATGAAATTACTAACTTGTCTTTGGTTTCACCAAATATTCTTTTTCAAAACTTTTAAAAATACTGGCTGAAGTTGCCTTAGTACCAAAATAACAGTTGTCCAGACTGTTCAGAATCATCTATGGTTGTACACTGTTTTGAGTATTTAAATGTGAAGTTGTTATAGGGCTACAAATGCAAATGATAGTATCTTGATACTGCTTTAGGAAGCATAGTTGTGTTCCTTATCATGTGTGCTCAAATACTGTACAGTGGATTTTGAGTGTGACAAAACAGAGCTGACAACTATTAGGTTATGTCTATGACAATCATAATGTATGATTAGATAGGAATTATTCATCTTTTTCCTCAAGACCATCAAGCATTCAGTTTCAGTCTATTTCTAGAAAAACACAACTATAGGTTGATACATTATCCCACTGGAGCACCGGACTCTCTATTTTAAAATGTTTAAACTGTTGAAATCAGGACCACTGATTTCAGTTAAAAAAAATAAAAACAATAGACTTCCAGTGTTTTGTGTTTTGATAACCATGGACTCAAATTTCAGTTTTGTTTGTTGTATGTGTTTTGTGACTGTTACATACTCAATGAGGACTGTCTTCCAGTCACCATGTGAAAAATATGTCTTCTTGAATTATACAGCATTTCATAGTTACCTATTCTGTCTATGGAGCTCACAGGCAGCCACACAAATGAGAAAGGCTTGATTGCTTATAAGCTTTTTTCACAAAATCAAATTAAAGTCTGGTTAATTTGAAAGCTGTTTTTGTTTGTTGTTATTAAGCTAATATTCCACGTGTTAGCTAACAGTTACTCAAAGCTGTTTTACAAGAAGATTGCTTGTGATTTGAGATTGAATACCATCTTTGTTCATTTTTTGTCATTATATAATGTACATTTTAATTTTAGCCATTGTGTGAGTTTTCTATTGTTGCCATAACAGGATAATAGAAATTTAAGGACTTAACACAAATTTATGCTCTTCCAGTCAGAAGTCCTTTTTCTGCTTCAAGTCTAACAAGCTGAAAGCTAGAGCAGTGATTGGAGCTGGGCTGTGGGGGAGAATGTGCTTCCAGGTTTGTTCAGTTTGTTGGCAGAATTTCATTCCATAGTGCAGTAGGACCCTGTTTCCTTTCTGGGTGTGGACAAGACACTACTTATAGCTTCAAGAAGCCACTGACATTTCAAGACTCCCTTTTTCTCCAAAGCTGGCAACAGAGGGTTCAGAGTTGGGATCTCCCCTTCCTCTCGCACCACTACTCTGTATCTCTGCTAACTCTTCCGCCTTCCTCCTCCAGTTCTAAGATTCCATGTGATAAAGTTTGGCCCACCTGGATGCTGTTGGCTCTCTCCCTGTTTTAAGGTTAACTGATTAAGGTTAACTGATTGTTTTAAGGTTAACTAAGTGCCATATATAAACTCTATTTTGCAGAATCATATCACATGTTCAGAGATGTAAAACACCAGAGAGTAAAGATCATGGGGATCCAACCTATAGATTAGGGAGCCAAAGACCGAGCCCACTTCAGGCTAATACTAATTTATACTAACAGCTGCTAAGATCAGAAAGCAATGTAGGTGTAACCCTAGGTATTTTAAGTGGCTACGTTCCATATTTACATTATCTAAAATTAACTGCAAGTGAAAAACACTTGGCAGTAAAAAGAATAATATAAACTTTAAAAGTGCTAAAAGTTTGAAGTTGTAAAAAAATGTCACCTGCAGCTTCAGTTACCTAAAAGCAGTTACTGAGAGGTTTATCATTTTATATTCATTTTTCTGTCAGCCTAGTCTTCCCCCTAGAATATACATTTTTAAAGTTCTGAAGATGTGCAGAAGAGGGCTTAGTTAAGAAGGGTGCTGTCGTCTTGGAGGACACCTCAGAGTCCTTCACAGATATTCAGAAGTGGAAGACTAAAGTTCTGCTTGTAACCTTTTGGATCTTAACCCACCCACCCACCCACCCCCTAAGGGTGCTCCTGGGCACAGTAGCTCTTTTAGCTGGTGGGGCCTAGTGAAAGGACGTTGGTCTCAGTATACTATGAAGACCCTGGCTCTTTCTGCCTCACCTCACGGGCTGCCACGAAGTGAGCAGCTTCCTCTGCTCTGTACTTCCACTGGATGAGCTGCCTCACTACAGGCCCAGGAGCAGCAGTGCCAAGCCATCATGGACTGAAACGTCTGAACTTGTGAGCCAAGGTAAACCTGTCTTCCAGGTTGATTGTTTCAGGTATTTTATCACAGTGACAGCTAACACACTGTAAATGAATTTTTGAGTGGACCAGTGTTAGCCTGTGTTAGGGTCCGGAGCCTTTGTGTGCTATCTTTTAATATAAAGTAGAAAGTCTCTTCGTTGAATATTTATGCTAGATTGGTTTCTCAGACACATTGGCTTGGGCATCACTGAAGTCTTAACAGCATTTACATTTGAAAACTTTGCCTATCAATAACAAATTTAATTGAGTCCTTAATTCCGAGAACATGGCTGGTATTAGTGAATTAGAAACAACCATATTAAGTATGGATATGTAGATAGAAGCAGTTTTTCTGAAAACCTATACCTTATCAATAACAAGGCAGTAGTTTATATTAGGCCAAATGGTTTATACTGTAAAAACATTTGATTTTAAAAGCTGAACATTTTTCTGTGTCTATGTAAAATAATTCATATCCCAACCATTCTTTTAAGATAATTTTTAAAATGTCCTTTTCATTTTCATCATCTTCCAAACTTCAGAAAAGGCCAGGCACAACAATAACACACAGTATTTATGTGTTAAGTATTTTAGGACACTGAAGTAGACAAGTATTTTTAGCACTGTTGGACTAATGGGGAAATTGAGACCCAAAAAACTTGAGTCATTAAATTAGAAACCCTATGGTGAGATGAAAGGGCATGGATCAAATCTATCTCAGTTTAGTCACAATGCTACTTAGAATTTAAATGCTTCACTGTTTGGTGAGGTGGTGTTATGGTTTATATCTAGACTGCCTTCCAAAACCTCATGTCTTCAGAGGGTGGCTTTGGGAAGGTAATTGGATCACGAAGCACTGTAGCTGGCTTGCTCTTAGGAGGGGTACCTGGTTAGAGGCAGGTCACCTCAGAGGATAGATATCTCTTCTCTGCTCCTTCCTTTTATTTCCTGGCCACCATGAAGTGAGCACCATTTCTCCCCAGGTCTTTCTATCATTCCCTTCTTGCCTTGGAGCAGCCTCCCATTTAAGTTGTGGGTGGTGGCTATTTTTGCCCCAACTGCAAGAAGAGAAAGTGACTAAGACAAGTGGCAAGAATGACACACAATTTAATGGTTCTCTTTGGACAGGATTAATGCATGAAACACTTCTGTTGAACATGGCAAGTCTGACTCATTTCCTTGCCCCTAGGCCTGCTATGGTAAACCTTTTAAGAGCCTTTGGTGATGATAAACTGCCCATTGCCACATGGGTGCCTTAGGTTTGCCACCACTGCCCTAAGCCATACTTCTGTTAGTGCCAACTGTAATAGATCTTGGTGTAGAGGGAATCCTGTCATTACCTGCTATGTCGTGAATTTAATTTAGGGCTTCCAAACATAAATAAATTCCCAGTATTTGGGACTAGCATTAGTATCACCTCAAAAAAAAAAAAAAATCTCAAAGCTGTTTCATTCCCTAAGTCTGCTCCTTACTTAACCTCTACCTAAGCAGGCATCAAAATGTGATGTTTCCTTTACCTCTGTTGGTGCTCCTATACTGTGTATTTCCATTTTTACTATCTTCAGTTAAGGTCCTCTATTGAGAACATTACAAAAACAGTAGCCTTAATCCATTATCTACATTGCTGTGATTGTCTCTCCACTTCCCAAACATCTGGCAGTTCCTTTCTGCTTAACACTTCAGTGGCTTTCCAGGCTAGAAGAAAAGTCCAAGTCATCCTAGCCTGTCACCCCTTTCCCACCAGACTTACTGCATTCCATTTGCCTTGCATCTCTTCTGTCACTAGGCAGAGCATGGATTTTCCATCTCTGTGTCTTTGAAACCAAGCTTTAGTTTCATCTCTGTAGCACCTTAGTTATACTGCAGTCATTTCATTCATAACTTTAAATTCTATTTGCAATAATCTCTCTACCTCTTTTCTGCACTCTATAAATACCTTTAATTCCTGTCTTTTAGATTAACCTTGTCTTTATTGGCAAGTGCCAGTTTTGGAACATGCAAGAGAAAAAGCAATGTAGAAGCTTTTAAAATAGTCCCAAATTATAAAGGATGAAGCTATGGAAACAAATTTCATTATATAGTACCTTCAGAGTTCAGAATCACCCTCCTTAAAGAGTACGTAAAGCTGCAAATTCCCAATGATGAAATGTACCAATAAAATTAATAAAAAATAAAAATTTAATAAAATTAACTGAAAAAAACTGCAGTTCTTCAATTTCAGTGCCAATAAAACCTACAATTTAAAAGGTTGGATGTATAGGTAGAATTTATCCCATTGACATGCAGTGTACATCATTTAAAAATAACAATAAATGGTACTGACAGCTCTGCTTTTTAATATTTTGTGAAAAGAAAATACACAAATGGTATTTAAATAGGCTTTTGAGCATAAACTAAGTTTAGGTACCAAGATGCTTTACGTGACACCATTTTTTTTTAAAGATTGTGTTAAATGTTTCTAGACATTTCTCAAAACATTGGTTGAATTTAGGAATAATTTTTTTCAGCACACTATTCCCAAAGAAAATCGATTTTGAACAGCATTTATCCAATTTTGTTTCATGATAAAGCAAAAGGACACATATTTTGATTTCTTTAAAAGACTGAGCCATAATTATTTTCGGATTGTACCTTAAATTTGAGTATTTAAAAAGACCTTGGCTACATTTATACTGTTCAGAATTACACCAAATTGAATTCTGGAACAACTTCTAGAAACTATTATTGAAGCAAATCAGCCATCTGCACAGCTGAGTAGGTGCCATAAGGCATGATTGCTAGGTTTATATGTGGCTCATTAAGCAAGGGCTCCAATATGAACACACATTGTTTCACGTTCTCCTGAACCAGCAGTGAATAGACATTGAAAGGCAAACTTTTAGGAGTAAAACCAACACTAAACGTTGAGGCTCTGCGTCCATTTTTCTCTTCTGCATTCCCAGAGTTCCCAGAAACTCCATCTCATTTTGACGGGTCAACTGCTGTGAGGCAAGTCTCAGGTCCTAGAATCCTTTATCCCTCTTACAGACCTTCCCATCTAATCATGACCTTCCTAATGGGACCAGCCTTGGTGCCTGTAGAGAAAATGTATAAACATTATGAAAGAACCAAGGGAACAGTGAGGAGAGTTCTGGAAAATTTCTTAATTTCATGCTTCTTTAAGGTGTTTAAAATATGCTCAGTATAGAAACTCAAGAGGCACAGTAAAGAAGTCTCTTCCAAAGTAATCCTTAAGGGATACACAGGGCATTTCATACTTACTTTTCCTGAAATTCAGTAAATTCAGTAATCTTCCTTTAAGACTAATACACACACCACCTATTAAATATTTAGAACTCATGATTTAACATATAAAATCATACTACTTACTTGAAGTCTAGATGTTCAATGAGGACATAACCATCTACAGAAAGAAAAAAATGTTAGTAATTAGAAGTTGTTTTAAGGAAATGCTTTTAAGATTTTCTAAAAACATTGAAATTTTATGGTCAGTATGTCAGTATTTGCTTACATTTGCCTTTTGAATTGCGACATATCACTAGATTGTGATCAGTGGTATCAATGACTTCCAGTTCTTCCCCAGGAGTTATTGGCAAATCAAATATTCCATTTCTTGAATTATTGGAACATACCACTGCTCTATTGATGACTATAATGTCTTTGTCATACTGAAATGAGAAATTATTAATCAGACCATGCTTTCATAGTAATTTTTTCAATATAACAAAGGTAATGAAAATACTATAACTTAAAAAAACAAAACAACAACAAAAAGACAACCCTCAAGATAGTACATACTAACACCTCAGGGAACACAGAGTAACAGGAAGATACACCAAAGGAAAGTCATTTAATAAAGCAATAAGATCCTATAATCTTACATGTGTTACGTTTTAAAAACATTTTCACATCCATTATCTAATTGTACTAGAGTGAATCCTGCTGGATAAGAAAGCTATAACATGGGTATAAATTAAACGGTGGATAGTATGTTGACTTTTGCAGTAATAAACTCAGGGAAACAAAATTAAGCCCTTATAACATTCTTAGATACCTTATCATTTGTAGAGGTCACTCTCTCACCACTTTCCCAGTGAGCTTGTCTGAGGGGAACTCTCACAAAAGAGGAGGAACTCTCCATTAATAGCCATAGATGCATTTGTGAAAACTGATAATACAATTCCTGACACTACAGAAATGTTTTTTTTTTTCCTATATGACAAATTAGCTGCTGTCTACATCCACTAGTACCGCACCTTCTGATGTATTAAAATCTGTTGACCAGGAAAAAAAATCCAGAACACGTAGGTTAGGTTACAGATGTCTCACCAAATTAGGGTGACCAAGTGTATTTCTTTGCCAGGATAGTATCTGTTTATGATAATGACTCCATTTACAAATATTTATGATTCAGAGTGCCTCCAGGGCTGGGGATGTTTAGTGGGAGAGCACTTGCCTAGCATGACAAGTTCCTGGGTTTAATCTCTAGTATTGCTTAAAAAACAAAATTCTTACATTGTCTGAAGTATTTTGATTTTGGATGCTAAATTACAAGTTGACTTATAATACCAAGCAGCATAATCTACAAGGTAGATTATTTTCTTTTGGTACCCCCAACCCCACCCCACCATAATACCTGTTCTTAGTACCTGTTCTTCTTCTTTCAGGACATTTGCCATGAAACTACAGGCATTTCTTCAAATACAAATTAGATTAGGTTACCTACATGTTCATAAAGTTCTGAAAACCCTACATTGCTTTTAGGATAAGATCCACATTTCTTAGCATGCCATTCAAAATCCTTCGTACACTATCATTCCCCATCTTTCCATCTCTTTCCCCTTTATTGAAACATGAAACTAAGATAATCCTTGAAATACACCATGTAGTTTTCTTATTGCCATGCCTTAGCTCATGCTGTTTTCCTACTTAAGTATTCATCTACTTCTTAACCAGCTTTTGTACTTTTATGACTGCCATGTATAATTTAAACTGTACTGTGCATGTACTCTTTCAGCATTTAGTAAACATACTCTTATAAAATGGAAAGACACTCATCTTTAACACAGAGGCAGGGGGGATTGAATTTTTGTCCCATCAAAAATTCAATGAGCATAAAAAGCACCAGGTAGAACATAGGAGTCTTTTTAACAAATAACTGCTACATTATTGTTTTTTACCTAATGAAGTAACAGAGTTTGCAAGGTGATTTCAGACCACAGTCTGATACAGTAACTGATCAGCTTTGCTTCAAGCAGGAATTATGGTGATTATGAGAAATTTATGGACATTGCTATTTTAGTTCAGATCAAAAAGTTATGCATATTTAGTCTTATTCTGCTCTGCACATGAAGTTGAAGATAAATAAGACGACTCTTTTTCTTTAGGACCTTCACAGTTTAACGTGGTGAATCTGTAATTGCAGTAAGCCAGAGGATGTTAAGTTATATAGGTACATTGAAGAAGAAGAAATTCTTTCATCGGGAGTTTAGGCAAGTTTTCCTCAAAAGAGAAAAGACCTCAGTTGGGTCTTAATAAATGAACAAATCAGAGAGAGAGAGAGAAACAAGTGTGTGCCAGATAGAGCAGAGCAGACCAAGTAACCGCTTAGAGAAATGAAATAGCAAGACAAGATACAGATGGTAGTTTATTTTAGTGACAAAAGTTATGAGCAGAGCTCATAGCAGAGCCAGAGCACAAGGTATAAAGATGGAGTGGCAGAAAGATAAAACTGGAAGGATCAGCAAAGATGTGACACAAAATATGCCATCTTAGGAAACCTGCATTTTATCAGTTTGGCAGTGGGGAGCTTTTAAACGATTTGAGGTTGACACTTCAAACATTTTATGAGCACGATGCGTACTGTCTCAATCCAGTGCCTGGCACATGGATAGTATTCAGATGTGCTTCTTAGTAAATCCTCACTTTGAGAATACGTATATGAGATTGGGAGTAATCATTTGAACTTCAATGGAAAAATGCTCCATGGACTTTTAATGGTAGAGTAAGATGTCAGAATTTCAGATGCTGCTGCACTCACTCATCACTCATTTGTTTATAGTCATCCACTCACCGAATGCTAAGTGTCACTTTTATGTTGGAAACCGGGGTATAAACTTGTTAAGACAAGCACCCGTGTGCTGTAATACAGGTGACTGATATTTTATGTGTACAGTAGATATACCAGATGTGCTGAGGGAGCGACTACATGGAAGACCTAGGAAACGGTGGCTAACCTTTGGATAGAGCCCTAAAGAGCTCCTAGGACTTTCCCAGATAGAATAGCATGTAGGAAGGCATGTCAGTGTAGAACTGCATCAGGAAAAAACCAAAGTATTGCCATGGCAAACTTACAAGATCTTTAAAAATGGATTTGTTTCCTATTAATAGTCCTAATTTATACCTTCAAAGGAGAACATACCTGAAATCGTCGTCTAAAAAGCTTTTCTTCTCTTACTCTATTCTTTTCTAAGTAATTTTGCTTCTTGATTCTGAAAAAATTTCTAGGAAAAAATCTGACAAGAAATACACGTGGGGTTAAACACACAATAATAAAATTCTTACATTTTCTAATACACATGCTGTTTAAGGATAAACTCAGGTATAATTTTGTGTATAACTATATAAAATCATGTACATATATATACACACACACACACATTTACACATGTATATGTATATACATAATCCATTAGAGCTGATTGTCAAAAAATGGAAAAAAGTAGTACCAGTTAATTTTTTTCTGCCAGTTAAGTGTGTTTGTGTTTGTGATGGTACCTGTGTATGCTAAGTAAGCCCTTCACCACTGAGATACACTCCAAGTCTTATAAATGTGTGTGTGTGTCTGACCATCAAACCCAGGGCATCACATATGCTAAGCATGTATGCTATCACTGCACCACAACCCTAAAATTTTTTGATAACTTGAAATAAATTCAAACTGGTAGAATATGATTAATAAGCACAGAAGCGCAGTTGGATAAAAGCTTTTAATGCTCTGTAGCAGTCGGCATAGTTGATAATAATCATACATTTCAAAATAGCTATTAGGATTTTCTGATGTTCGCAACAAATGAATGTTTGAGGTGATGGGTGCCACTTAAACTGATAATTATACTTTATATACATGTATTGAAATGTGACTGCCCCATAAGTATATACAATTATGTCAGAAATTAAAAATCAGATCTGTTAAACAAGGAACTTCACTGTGACTTCTCTCAGACTTACTCTTAAATAGAAAAACTGGGTGTGGTGGTGCACACCTGTAATCCCAGCACTTGGGAGGCTGAGGCAGGAGGATCGCTCTGAGTTGGAGACCAGCCTGGGCTACATAGTGAGTTCCAGGTCAGTCTTGCTACATAGTGAGACCCTGTCTCAAACCTCGCCCCCACAACCCCTCAAAAAAATTTGTAAATCTTTAAACACTTTTAGATTGGTAAGTGGAAATCAAAAACAAAGGTTTATATTTTTTGGTTTTCCTACTTTTCAGGTGTAATCAATGAATCACAAATTCGCATGGTTCAACTATGCTGTTTCCTGAATGATTTGGCAGCTGGATAGAATGAAGAAAACAAGTCAGGGTACCACAAAACACGTAACAATAGTAGCACAAGGAAGAGGGTAAACTTGGAGCAGAAGCTGAGTCCCCCGTGCCTCCTCCTGTGCACTCTCTCCAGCTTTTCACATGGGGCTTACTGACGAAAGGAAAGAGGTCAACCAAGTCCTGTTGGTTTTATTTGAAAATGACTTTTACATCTAGTTTTTTCCAAAATTAGTCTCTTACACATTTCAGATTATCAGCGCTTCTTGCCTGAAACACCATCTCATTCTTGTTACCCTTCTTTTAAAAACCAATGTGCAGACCTGCTTTCAGGGCCATCTTCCTGCAATTTAATTAATCATGCCATTCTTTTGCTTACAACCTTTCAGTGTTTTTTCTGCTACATCTGCCTACAGGAAAAGCCCAAATCTTTTAGCATGGTACATGGGCATTTTATACTTAGCCCTAGTCTACCTTTCCAGCTTTGCAAGATGCCCCTTTTCCCACACATACAATGTCTACATGGGTCATCCAAGAAAGGGGCTGTCCTTTTTATGCCTTTAGATCTAAACACCCTTCCCATATTCTCTTAAAACTTGACATCTTCCATTAATGATGTAATAAAAGACTTGTGATACATAAAGCATTTCTTGTTGATAGAATCAGGGAATACATCAGTTTATAGGTATAATGATACCCTAGCTGTTGCATTTTCAAATTTACTTAGTTGACAGCAAAAAATACTATTCTGTCAGTTTAATGGGGAAAAAAGCACTAGAAAATTGTTTCCTAAGAAGGCTTATTGCCTTCAACATACTAGAAAGCTTCATTAGGGAGGTCAAAGTTTTACTGGTACATACCCTTTTGGATTTTTGTTTTGCTGTGCTTTGAAAATATGTGAAAATATGAAGTTCAAGGTAAAAGCTTTATTTTCTAGAATGTATATATTTTGGAAAATTTATGTCAAGTCTAAACACAAAGAAAATAAACAAGGAAAAGGCCATCTTATACCATCCCTTTGAGTTTAGATTTCGTACTGATTTTTGGTGTGTCCCAGTAGGACTTTTTCCAGACATTTCCTAGAGCAGACAAGACAGCAGTGTTCACAGCTATTTACTAAAGATTTCTCGAAGACATTTGTTAAAAGCAAGCCCCACAGCTTCTGCCCCACACACTAGCAACTGTGAAGACAGGCGCAGAGCACTGGATAAGCTTCTGAGTCAGAAAAAACGCCCTGCCCAGAAGCCAACTGGGAACTTGGATCATGTGAACAGAAGATCTTGAACTGAGAAAACATTTGAACACTAATGTTAACTGGAATTGTATTTTAGGGAAATTATTCTTACTGTATGGTACCAGTTTCTCTTCTCAAACTTTCATATAAATTCCAATTGATGTTTTAACTTCTAATAGGATCTAACAGCTTAAAAGAGGAGTAGAAGTTTTTCATTTGATAAGGGCTATTTGAAACTTTCTTACCCTTATCCACTAAAGGAGGAAAAAGAGGGAAATTTTGTCTCTTTGTCATTTTTAAAAACTTTTTATTGGTCAATGCTTGTGATACGTTTTCCATGGGGGATCTGTCATATATCAATATCTATCTTGGATCCTTTTTATGTCCCTTTCCCCTGCCCACTTTCTTGCCTCCCTTTATTCCAATATTCCCTTCCCATGTCCACAAAGTCTATCTTTCCTGTTCCAATCATGTTTTTTATTCTTGCAACTGCACTGTGATGTAGGTATTGTTGTTCACTCTGTAGATAAGGAACCCAATAATCAAATTTATTTTTTTTTAATTTTTTTTATTTTTTTGGTACCAGGGATCAAACTCCGGTCCTTGTACTTGAGAGGCAGGTGCCAAACCACTGAGTTAAATCCCCAGTCCCCCAAAATCAAATTTTATGACTGACGTAAGGTCACACAGTTAAGTATAGTTATAAATGACAACAGAGAAGCTGTAATGTAAATGCACCTGTGTTCCTACCTTTCTGATCCTTCACCGTTTTTCTCTTTTTTTCTTCTTGGTATAAGAAAATTGGGCCTCCAAGTTTTCATTTTATCTTCATGACTGAAGAGAAAAGTGTTTTGAGCAAATGTTTTAAAACAACTATTAAAACATTTATGGAACCAACTTCCTGGGCATTTGGTTTTATAAGAATTTAAAACATCTAGAAGTATAGTTTGTTAGTCTATGGCAAAGCCATAGAATATTTTAAGCTTTGCAGACTGTATGTCTGTAGCAAATATTCGACTGTATTCTTTTGGCCTTCTTTACAAAAATAGTGGTGCAGTTTGGGAGATATCCATGGGAGATAGTTTGTTGACTTCTGATCTCTAGTAATCCAAATTTGAACCAGAAGCAAGAGATTAGCTAGGTGATAATCACATTTTACTTCTTTTCTGAGCCTTAGTCTCTCCTCCTAAAATGTGGATACTACTACTAAACTTCACTGAGACAATACTAACCAAGGAGTGTTACATTTGGGCATCTAGACAGAAGAGAATACAGGAAAAAATATTACATAAGGAATTTATACTTTTGAGCACCTGTGTGTCAGGTCTCTTCACATTTTTATAAAAGTTAACTCATTTGGTTTTCATAGTAAAACACTATACTTTCAAGGATCATTTCTATAGTTGGTTTTCATAGTAAGCACTGCATTAATTCTTTAAAGTACAATAGTACCTCGGTTCATGAACTTAATTCTTTCCAGGATTCTGGGGAAGATGGCCCCATTTGTGTTAGTTACCAGAAGTGGAGTTCAGGAACAGAAACAAAATTTTGCTGAAATTGTTTGCAAACAAGCATTCATGAACTGAGGTGTTACTGTATTTATTTATTAGGTTTAATAAAGAAGGTAACAAAGCATCAGTGCTAGATAACAGTTATAAAAAGTTAGTACTGATGGGTGTAAATATGTGTGACTCCAAATTCTTTTCTCACTGTGCCTGCTATTCTAAAATATATTTCCTAAGTCACTGATGGGCAAAACAGGAGCCCCCTTTATTAACTATATGTCTGGTACTGGCACACCTGCACACTCAGTAACTCTTCATTAGGCAAATTATAAACAGAGACAACCCGTCAGAGGAATTTGAGATTTTTAAAGACATTGTATCATGATTCCTTTCAGGTTATGGTCAACAAGCATCCAACAGGATGTTAATTAAGGACCTAGCACTTTCCAGCATTGAAAATGGAGCACAGGGAAGCCTTTCAGTAGCCTTCTAGGACTTGTCTAGAGAACTCTGATCCCTTTCTTCCCAACTACTGTTACCTTCGGAGCCTATAAGGAGCTCAGCCTTTGTTTATTATCTACCTGTTCCAGATTCACTCATTTTCTCTCTGCTTTAAGCTCCCAGAAAGTGGTATATAGACATATTCCAGATGTACTTATCCCAAGCTCAGCACCATATTAGGTATACTACAAGGATTCTTTATGAACTTGTGCATAAAATTGGTTGGAAGGAGCTACAGTTATAAGGAACAAGCATGGGGAAGCTCTGCTTTGGTTATTTTCTTCACTGATTAGAAAGCAGAATCACGAGTAAATACAGTAAAATTTTGGATTAGGAATAACTGGTTCATTGAGTGTCCCACAAGATGAGCAATATTTGTAATGAGCAATATCTTGCTATACAAGTATTACGTGATGCTATCATATGACTACCACCGAGCCAATGGTTCTGTCCCCCCCTCATCCCCTGATGGGATTGTGGGTGATAGTCTCCCAACAGCAAGAGGTTATGGAGATTTTGTCTCTGGAGGAAGAAGATAAAAAGACAGAATCCCTCACTTTAAATGACATTAGGGAAATATGGAAAATAGTACAAAATTTTGTAGAAAAGCACCACCTGAATAAAGGCTGTAGCAGTGCAAGGGATGAATCTGTTTAATGATTCAATGTCACATTGCCATGAAATACTAAAAAAGGAGGCAAAAGCAAGTCTCATTGGGTAGGTACTTGTAAAAGTTACATGAAAAGAAAAAGATTGCATTGAGCTAATAGCAGTGATTCTATTTGTGACAGTGTAAGTCGTCTTACACAATACACCTTCTCTCTCGTCTCCCTCCCATCAGCCACTAGGATTTTCAAAGGTAAGTGCAGGTTATTTTTTATATGTTGTATTTTATTTTTGTATGATATTACAGTATTATAATTTTTCTATGATTTTTCTTTGGCTTGTGGAACAAATCATCTCAGTTTCCATTATTTCCCATGGGAAAATTTGCTTTGACATACAAGTCCTTTGGATTGCAAGAATGTTTTTAGAATGAGCTATGCTTGTAAACCAAGGTTTTACTATAATTGGAAGCAGAAGTAGGAAGAATGGCAGAGACAAAATAAGCATAATCTAATCTCTTAAAGACATCTAATTTTTCTTCCAGCTGTTTTTCAATCACTGACCTGAGATCACACTATTACATAGCAATCTTGCATTTTTATTTTTTTATTGTAATTATATTTCTCCATGTCACTGGAAACTATTCACTATGGGTTTATATTTGAATGGTCATGATGAGTGATACATTTTTCAATATTCATTTGGGTAGATTGTTGTAAATATATTTTTATAAATTGCTCTGAAATGTTTCATGCCTGAACCTTTTTCCTTACAGCTAATTGGTCAAAGTGGACTTCTGCATTAAGGGACTAGGACTGTCAGTGCAGAGCACAAACTTTTCATTCAGGAAATTCACTGCAATTTATACACATGCTAGCCATGCAACTCTGTTTAACTCGTTCTAGAGCTCCAGTTGGAAAGCTTAAATAATTCAGCAGAATAGGGATTGTTACTGCTGTTTCATAGGTTAAAGAACCAAGCTCAGAAAAGTGTGATGACTCATGTCAAGCTGTAAAAGGAGATGCTGTTCCAGTGTCCATTTTAAGATCTGCTCCTCCTTCCCTTGCTGACTCGGTTTAATGAGCAGAAGGACATGGAAAAGAGTGTTTTGGATCACTCTAGCAGCACTTTAATTGAGAGCTGTTGAGATGACTTTCAAACTAGCCAGGCTACAGTAACTTGTCATCTTTTCTGTCTCATTCCATCTACTATTTCTGCTTAGTAGTTGGCTTCTCTGGGGCCAAATATCAGACTTACTCTATCACATGGAAGAAAAAATTTAGCTTTGAAGAGGGCTAAGTGATGTGGAGAATGCCACTGATTCATAAAATACTCTTAAAATATTCCTTACACAGCTGTCATGTATTAACAACCATAGTAAGAGCTAAGTGATAGAGATTAAGAGGATACAGTTCCTGTGGTATTCTGTGGATATGATTCCGAAGAGGTTTTGATATTTATAAATTCACTTAAGTTCTCTGGCATATCTTCGCCTATTTCCTCCACCACCCTAGAAAATATTTTCACCATCTTTCACCTGAGAATTGTAGTTATGTTCTACTATGTGTTCTTCCAGCTTTCCTTCCAAAGTATTCCGTAAGAAGGGTTAGATTCCCCTTCTGAAGTGTGGCTCCATTTAAAATGGCCCTCTTGCTCAAAGTCTGGACTTCCTCACTTGGCCCAAGGCAGAAGAGGATTTTTGAAATAGCACTACCAGTACAAAAGAACTGGATCCTGGATGAAAAAATATTATAGTGCCATGCTTTAAGAAATTGTTCCACTGAGAACAAATGCTGCTCCCTGTACCCTAACAGTTCTCCAAACCAGCTGAGACCAGAACTACACACAAAGTGTGGGTTAAGGGGAATGCTACTATCAGCTCCCAGTATTCCCGAAGTTTGAACCTTGCATTCCAGGCAAAATAGAAGTTAAAACAGTGTCACTTTGGCTCTTTTTTAAAAAAGCCTAATTACTTGTGTTCACATTTTAGTTCTACCTATTACATGATCTTGGGTGAGTAGCTTAACAACATTTCTTAGTCTCTCTTCTGTAAGTGTATAATAATAATATCAATCCCACAGAAATGTTGAGAAGACTTAATGAGTTTATACACATTAAATGTATAAAGCAGTGCCTGACCCATATACAAGCTATTATTTTGTTATTAGTAGTATAAGGGATATAGATCACTATAATAAATGCTTATCTCATTTGAAAATACTTAAATGTTTTTATGCAACTAATAAAAGAGCCTCAGAATAGAAGCAGAAAAATGCTAAAAGCTCTGAATGAAACTGATAAATCTATCATCCTTGTCTGGTATGCCAATTCATTTCTCTGAATTATTGACAGATCACACATTTAAACATTCACAAATATATAAATTTGAACAAGAGAATTAACATGTTTTATTTAAAGGATATATGTTGCAATTAAATCATTTTTCTAGAGCATTCATGGAACATTTATAAAAACTGACCATATACCAGGCATGAATTACATCAGCACAGGCATCAATTACTTTGTCAGACCACAGTACAATTAAGGTAGAAATGGTCACTGGAATAGAATAGGGAACCTGAGGACAGAATTTCAGATATAGCAAGATAGTGTTGAAGATCAATGGGAAATAGACTATTCAGTAAATTGTGCAGGCATTTTATGTACAGAAGAAAACGTAATGATCCCAACTATAGATATGAAACAGTTTAAATAGAACAGAGTATAAAAGACAAAACTTCAGAACTTCTGAAACAATATCATTGGTAGGAAAGAAAGTTTTTCTTCAAGAGATGTAAAAAGCAACTGTTAGGGAAAGTTGATAAGTTCAAATATTTTGAATTGAAATTGTGTTATTCATTGAAAAACTAGAAAAGACAATGAAAAAGTGTGAGAAAATATTTCTGATAAAAGGTGTAAAATTGGGAAATGAATTACTTTGTGAATGAATTAGGAAATCCAAGGTGGTTGAATAGAGGAGTCACATCTGAGAGACTCAGAAAAGATCAACTAAAAACCCTTGTAACTGGAAGAGAGGAAGGACACATAACCTGATATAAAAAATCAATTTGAAAGAAGATACGTGTAGATCAAACAAAACAGCCAGATAGAAGTTAAAAAGAGAGGAAGCACCTTCCAGGGCCCACATCATTGTCTGCCCTAGAAACAGCCATTTTGAGAACTAGCCAAGTAGCCAGAGGGGAAGCAAAGAGCACTGCAGAGACTAGCCTCCCAGGATAGACTCAGGGTATATGGGCTCCTTCATTCCATCATTCCCTCCAGCATCCTCATTGTGCCCACCAAAGATAGGGAAAGTTCCCTAACTACCTGACTCCAGGCACTGAGATCACTGAATGGTGACCACTGGGTCTACCCATGCCCAAGACACCACCAGGCACCTGGTGTTGGTCCCATAGCAACTGGGACCTTCAGCTGGCCCACAGAGCTAATACCAGTCCTATGTGTGCCTGGCATCTCCAGATAGCTGCAGTCCCCTCTTCCAGTAGTCACTGCCCCACTATCATCTCTAGACCTGCCAGAGACTTGGTGTGACATCCTGCACCAGTCCTGGGCAGCCTGTTTCCGCAGGGAGTCCTAGTCCTGTGTCTCTTCACCTGGTGCCTCAGACCTACTGGAGCCTCCACTCTGCACCAAGTGCCCCTGCTCCCCTTCTGGGGTGCGTCAGTCTCCATCTTGCACTTCATCATGGTCCTAGGCAGAATGTGCACCCAGCACACTAGGCTAGTCCCACACCCACTGAAGCTCTGCCCGGCTGTCAACACTGGATAAGAAATACTTGATGTTCCCCATATCCTATGCCCACATGAGACTCCCTCCGACCAGTACCTGGTCCCCTCTGGGCTGGCTGGAATCTCCCCAGGTCAGTCTCAGGCACACTTGGGTCTCCACTGAGTGGCCAGGAATGGCACAAGCCTCCATCTGGTGTATTGAGCTGGTCCCACAGACATCGGAATATCAGTCAGGTACCCAGTGTTGGTCCTCAACCTGCTGGAATCTATGCCAGGTAGCTCAAGCCCACTCAAGTCTTCACAGGAATCCAATGCCTCACACCTTTCCCGGGCCTGTGTCCTGGCTTGGACAGTTGCTATGGACTGAGTTTTACAAAAGGAGGACCCCTTGAACAGAGTCTTCACCACATGAACCCACAGGCTATAAAGAGGGGCAGAGAGGAATGTGACTTGTTGGATTAAAGACTGTAGGCTCTGAAAGAAATATGGAAATATGTAGGAATTTTTTTCTCTCCTTGTGACCCAATTTTTTATTCCACTATTGGTACATTTAATTATTTATTATTTTGGTGGAGTCTGGAGTTTATCCATTTTCTTGTACTCTTTTAAAATGTTTGGATTAGGTCCTCCTTTTCTCTGTTTCTATTTGTTTTCTTAGTATTTTTTCCTCTAGTTTAATCTCTACTCTTTATTATTTAGCCTTTTCTAGTTTTTTTTCTGTTACTGTTATCTAATTTTCCTTTATTTCTTAATAGGATCTTTTATTTCAATTTTACCACCTTTTCATCTATTGCTTAATTTTTCAAATTCTATCTTTTTCATGCTCACATTCCCATACCTCTATCTTTGCTAGTATAATCGTTAACCCTGATGAATTTGTAGATAGTTAACTATGTCTTACTATATGGTTGAACACTTTCATTGTCAACAGAGGTAAATTTTGTTTTATTGAGTATTTACTGTATATCAATTTTTGGGTTGTCTAAAGAGTTTGTACTTTATAGATCTCATTTCTATGGTTAAATGTGGTACAGTGTTAGTTCTTAGGATTTGTCATTATTCAGTTTGTATTTTACTGTTGATTTTACTACTTTGGCCACATACATGTGTTGCTGTCAATTGGTTATCTCTGTATGTGAATATCTAGTTTGCCTGGGAGTCATAAAAAATATTGCAGCCTAGTCCAAAAGAACTGGTTACTGGGCCAAATAGGCTACATTCTCTCCCCTCTAATAAACAGAGGTGGTTGAATCCTGGAACAGACCCAAAGGTTGATAGCTAGCTACACCAAGAGGACACCTCTGCAAAGTAGACACTGCTTAAAAGGGTCTCCACACTAGCAGTAAAGCTGTCCACCATATGCAATCTACAGTCCTCAGCACAAAACAAACAAAAAAACTGAGAAAACAAGGAAGTAAAGTGCCTCCAAAATCTCCTAACTTCCCCAAAGCAAATCCAGGGAGCACTGTGGGAAAAGAACTCAAAAGCCACACAGCTAGAATATCTGAGATGGTGGCAGTGGTGTTAACAAAACATGCAGAGGCAAAACAGACAAATTCAAAACAGCAATAATTAAGGATATAATGATTCTAATAAAAGATCAGTGAGTCTAGAGAAAATATAATAAAAAAACTAGAAGAACTAAAGAAAGAAATGCAAGCCATGAATGCCCAGCATAGAAAAAAATTGGAGTCTATAAAATGGTTTCAATCCATGAGATCCATGAGATTAAAAACTTTATCTGAAAGCACAGGCAGCAGATTCGATCAATGTGAGGTCAAAGTGTCAAACCTAGATGACAGGCCTGTGGTTGATGATCAACTAATGAGAGACACTTTAATAGAACATGAAAAATGGATCCAGCAGCTGCTATATGATGCAGAAAAAGACTAAATTAGAATTAAAAGTCAGAAGGTAACACAAAGTGCATTTTAAAAAACATGTTTACAGAGGTAATGGAAAAGTTTCCAAGCACGGAAAAAGAATTTGACATACAAATAAGTGAGGCATAGAACCACACAAAGACATATTCCATGCAAAGACATATCACAGTTAAGGTTCCAAAAATCCAACACAAGATTAGAGTCTTAAAAGCTTTTAGAGAAAAGAAATGAGTCACCTATAAAGGGAAACCCATGAAAATTATAACAGACTTCTCAACATAAACCCTAAAGTCAAAGAGAGCTTGCAGTGAAGTGTTTCAAGCCCTAAAAGAAAACAACTTCCAACCCAGATTGATATATCTTTCAAAATGGAGAAATAAGATAGATACTTCCATGATAAGGAGAATCTACAGAAATTCCTGACCACTGAATGAATATTCCAAAAAATTCTCAAGAATATCCTGGAATGAGACAATGACAATAACTATGTCAAAAATCCCAATAGAATGAACCCACCAGGAAAACTGAACAATTAAATAGAAGCCAGAGAATGGAAACCAAAACCAGGAAAATAATGTAAAGACAAGGATGTCAATACCTACCCAGTATAACCACATATGTAAACAGTCTCCATTCAGACACATTAGAGCCAACAATATGCTGCAAACAAGGTCAAAGCATGGAAAACAATATTCTGTGCAACAGAAACCCAGGAAAAAGCAAGAAGAGCTATCCTAATTGCAGATAAAGTGGATTTCAAGCCAAGACTGAGCAGAAGACAGGTCACTGCATACTCGTTAAGGGAACAGTTCAACAGGAAGAGATAACAATCATATATGCAGCAAATAGCACACCCAACTTCTCAAAACAAACACTAATGGACATGAAAAATCATATAAGCACTAATACAGGCTTAATGAGGGACTTCAATACTCCACTCTCACAAATGGAAAGATAAACTAGACGAAAAATCAAAAAAGAAATTTCAGAGTTAAACCACACCTTTGAAAAAATGGACTTAATAGATACCTACAGAGTGTTCCATCCAACAACAGAATACACATTATACTCAACAGCACATGGGACTTTCTGCAAAATACACCACATACCAGCCCACAGAACATGCTAAAGTAAATGCAAAGGAATAGAAATTTGATGTTAATCAGACTGTAGCACAATGAAACTAGAAATCAACAGCAAAAGATACCACGAAATTATGCAAAAACATGGAAATGAAATAATGCCCCTTGAATAATCAGTGCTTCGCAGATGAAATTAAAGAAGAAGTTCCTTCAATCAAATGATAATGTCAGTTCCACATATGGGAACCTAGGAGATACAAAGCAGTCCTAAGGGTCTAAGGGTCTGGAGAGATGCCCCCCTGATTATATTTAACAGAGCATCAGGAAATGGGTCAAATATCAGCAAGGATGACAGTATGGTAAATTCACTTACTTAGACTCTCTTTCACTTGTGGTCACATCATCGTAGATAGTCACTTCCTGAGACCTAAGTTCTAGGATCAAGGTGGGATCAAAATAGTCCATGATTAGGTATATTTCATACTATGGCTGGCTTTTAAAATTATACAGTTACTTAATTATTCAGATGAATCATCAAGGCTGTTTTATCAAAATCTCACTACACAGACTGGAACAAAAAGCTTTTCTTTTGGGAAGAAATTCAACTGAGATTAAAAAAATAGATGCCCTCGTATGTTAAGCACATGTGTGTATTTTACACTTGATCTTAGCCAAAAGGCCGAGAAGTGATAAGCACATATTTATATTTTATATCAATTTGATTTCATCCAGAGTTCAGGAAATATGAGTTGCTGAGAGAATAATTCTTAGGCAAGTTCCCATCTTTCTGTAACTGGAGAAAGGGTTTATACTGCTTGAATATGAGAAGGCTTTTCTTAGTTCCCAGTGGGAAAATAATTCAGTAGGATATTAATATTGAATTCCATGAGATATTTCATTTTAAACCATAGGCAAACCCTTTATAATAATCTGGCATTAGATTTCATCTGCTAGTACATAATCATTTTTAGACATTTTCAAGTTACAATATTCACCTGCCTTCACACTTTACATAGAACTGCTTGGTTTTCAAGTGATTCACCATTTGCATGAAATTGAGGCCTTTTTGCATAAGTATTCACAGTTCAGATTCAATTCATAATTATTCATTGCATTATTTTCTTCCATATCTTTAAAGTGGGATGGAGGTACACACTGATATTCCTTATTTGAAATGTATGTGAGTAGAGATTTTGGAATTCAAATCTTTTTCGGGTTTTGGAGTATTTGCATATCCCCATCCTGTAGTAAGTGGTAGGATTTGAAAAAAAACTTTCTTATCCTCCTCACAATAAAAGTGCTCTTGGGTGAGAAATCTTTTTTTTTTTTTTTTT